AAGTGCTTCTAGACAATAGAAATGCTTTCGGGAGAAATACATTCAAACGCTTCTTCAATAAGCATTTCTAAGTACTTTTTCACAAAGCACATGGGTTTTAAAGGAAAACTAATGAAAATGGTTTGAAAACTTTGATTTTTTCGTTAAAAATGTGGTTTTTCGTTAAAGTGAACAGTACCGAGAGTTTTTCGTTAAAATTCTCTTTTTAAAATTGCACTGTGGTTACAGGTGGTACAGCTTATGAGTGGAGATCTTAGCTGCCTGAAGTCCTTGAAGAAAAGCATATCAATGCCAATTTTCCGGAATGCATTGCGTGAAGAGCTCATCGACACAGAAGACCGTAACGCAACCATTCGGACGGGTTCTCAAACCATGGAAGCCGGTAAAGTAACGGGACACGGAAACTTGGAGTAATGGACATGGAAACTGTTGGAGTTTTGTGGTTCGGTCCAACCCGTCCAACAAAGGAAAGGAATGAATACGATTCTCAACATATGTAATGTGTATATATAACTATATAAGAGTTAAAAGAAAGAAAGAAAGAGTGACAATGTGTTCTATCCAACCCACCACGTACATGATAGAATCCGATACAAATCGTAATCAAAGAAAAAAATGTTTAGTAAGTTAAGTAATGATAAAGCATTATGTTTTCCTACCACAATATTGGTTGTATTTTTGTTTTTGCTAGGATATTGACTTATCAGTTATCATATGTGACGTGCTCATTTCTATCGTAGCTTCATCATCAGCTGATCCTCGTTTTTAAAACAAAAATTAGAGGGTTATGGTCAATCGATAGAGAACAACTTTGGTTGTCTTACACTTCTTATAAAATTATGTGACTTCATGTATTGTCATTAATGTTTAGTTCTACAGGGGTTGAGAGCTGTTTTAGTGAGGCACTCTTATCAACATTTCTTACTAGTTAAGCAACTTTAGAGTCGCATGTGGGATAATCCATGCATCAAAGCATATACGTCAGGATTGAGGATCCTATCCGCATCCTCTTTGTGAGAATTTCGAAGATTCCTAAATTGTGTTCGTTCATCGTATCGTACATCGTACGATCAGAAATCATTTTAAATACTTTTATTTAAAATTAAATATGAATAGTACCAGACGAAAACTACAGACACAATTTGAGGATCTCTAGGGTCCTCATAAAGAGGATTCCCAGGGGGAGGAGGTGGATTGTCTACCCTCCCATTTCCATACTCTTCCCATGCTTTCCTGCGGTGTGTGGTCACGATTAAGTCACGTCAACATTTTATATTAATTTTTTATATAAATAATAAAACAAAAAATAATAGGAATATAAAATGTTGATGTGGCTTAACCGTGACCACACAAACAAGAGGGGAATTGGAGAGTATGGAAATAGGAGGGCAAACAATCCACCTTCGATCCGGAGAGGATCCTCATTCCCAATGGAAAAGGATCCTCATAGAATTCTTTTTCTGGGGATCCCGTGATCATGACCGTTCATTGTATATCGTGTGATCAGTTTTCGTTAGGTACTATTTATATTTAATTTAAAATTTAAAATGATTTCTGATCGCACGATATACGATAAACGGTCACGATCATGGGATTCCCAGAAAAAGAATCTGACTAGAATCATTTTCCCATCCCAATGGACCATACGCATTAATGATAAGATAAGTTTTTTTTATTTTTATTTTTATTTTTTAAAGAATGACGACTGGTGGCAAACTATAATTATACACATTTTTCGGGGGTTAGAAAGACTCACAAATACATTTTAGTCTCCTCTAACTATAAGTCTGACTTCCACATCAACAACGAATTAATGATAAGATAATTTTAACAAAGCGTGAACGACTGATCATAATATTTCTTCTGAACAATGTGAAATCCATTAAACGATGGTCGAAAGTTGCTTAGTCTAATCAAGTATTGCTAAGATAGGGTAGGCTAGGCTGGGGTATGAAGTGGGGACGCGGCGCGGCGCAGGTAGCCATAGGTGGTATCGGCAAGTTTTGTTGTGAACCCGGCTGGCACGTAACTTATCGCCGGATGGCTTATTTCACCCAATCAAACGAGAAAATTTTCTTTATGATCGGAACACGAGTAGTATATCATATATTTTTATATAAGAAAAATTAATAAAAATGATTTGATAATGTTGAGTTTTAATCAAAAGGATAAAAAGGTGTTATAAGTGAATAGTACCATGAGTAACTTTTTAAAGTAAAAATATCATTTTCGTTAAAAGTGAACAATACTGAGAATGTTTCATTAACACTCCCTTTTATATAAGTGGTAGAAAATTTTATTTTTTTAAGTTATTAACTTTTTAACATATATCCCATAATTTTTAAAATACTTATGTGGTATCTTATTCAGATATTGTTACTAGCCTCGAAAAACTTTCAGATGTTAAGCATAAGTCAACAATATATATCAAATTTACCGATATAAAATGACTCTCAGAGAAGATGATTTACTTGCTTATGCAAGGAGATGATATATGATGTATCACCCGTGTTCCGATCATATTAAAAAATCTCTCGAACCAAACAACTCCCCCGAACTTCTCATTACTTTGACGCTAACGTCCCTTCCTTCCGTTACCATGCCACTTCATTATCCGCTCTGTACGTTTCCTTATTATTTGGTAATTTAAATTAATAATGGGGGTATATTGGTCATAAAATAACAGCTATTGTTCGGTTTCGGCGTTTCGCCATAGAAAAAGAAAATAAAACTTAAGGTGGGGGGTTTTTATTTATTTATTTATTTATTTTAATTTTCAAAGGCTAGAAAATCATTTTTCAATATGGGTTAAACAAATACAAGAAAAAAAAAACAATATTTCATTCTCAAACTCCCACGCCCACAAACCAAACCCAACATTAGTCTTCATACGGCAATAATACGTATTTTTCTAACAAACAGAAGATATTTACACTAATACTTTTACAATGTAAACTCATCGTCAATACATCACAATATACCACAGCTTAGTACTAACAGAACCTAATACATCTAGTATCCGTACGAATTAAACTTATACATCCTCTAACCAGTACAACTTTAATGACGTTGGATCAACTAGTACTAGTCACACACAATTATACTTTTTAACTGAAGCCTTAGATTTCTACATAGGTTCTTTTTTCCTTTCTAGTTATTACCTATGTTACCTAAATTAGTGCACAAACTTAGATTTCGTCAATATTTCCGTGATAATATCAAAAAAGTCAAATAAAGGTATATGGAAGGGGTGAAGTCCTCGCATCGGAGAAACTCTTAAATTTTGGCTAAAATTGACAATGTCGCCGATGTATATGTCAGATACATCCGTTAAATATCGGAGACAGTGTTATATTTTGTATAAACCGGTGTTTGACATCCCCTAAAGTTTCATTTAAATTTCTATCGAAATCCACTCATATCGATTTCGATATATTGGGCGACACACATGCTACAATGGCTGAGACAAAGGGCCGCGATCCCGCAAGAGTGAACTAACTCAAAAAATCCGTCCTCAGTTCGGATTGTAGGCTGCAACTTGCCTACATGAAGCGGAATCGCTAATAATTGCCGGTTAGCCATTAGATACTTTTTATGAATGTCAATTAAGTTTCGTAAGTAAATGGCTTCTAGTTGTTCAATCATTTGATAACTAAAATCATTCTTTGATAAACGATCACTATGAGTCCGACTCAACAAAATTTGATCATTTTTTTTATGCCGTTAAGATGGGAGTATTGAGCCAAAAATTTTCTTTGTATATATATGATATTTTAAATACCGCTTAGAATACAAATTAAAATTTAATACGATGACTAGGGATGGGCAAAATACTCATGAGTTTGGGTAACAGAGGTTACCCGCCCATTTAAAATTCACAGTTACGGTTATGGGTAACCATTTAGATGAACAAATGGTTATGAGTACAACCGTTTATCTGTGAAATTTAAATGGGCAATTATGAGTATTACCCGTAATTATAATGGGTATCCATTTACCTATTTAATTTAATATATGTAAATTAAAAAAAAAAATTAAAAACCCCAAAATTTCAATATTTCCGCCAGACTTAGAGTCTCAAACGCCCTCTCCCCCATTCATCTCTCCCTCCTCGCTGCCCTCTCTCTCATCTTCACCGCTCATCTATCTCTCCTCACTGCCCTCTATCTCATCTCCGCCGCCCTCTCTCTCATATCTTCTCTCTTCATTCCCTTATATTAGTTGGTTTTGCATAATGCCATTTTGTTAGTAAAGGAACAATTGATTGGGTGGTGTTTTATATCAGTTGGTTTTGAATCTTCATTCCCTTATCCTAAAGGAACAGTTGCAAATGTCATGTTGTAATCATATGGATTATAATTAAAGACTTGCTTGGGTGTAACAGAAAAATATTATTCGTAAACTATTATTTCAATTATTGGAATTGTATAAGGACTTAAATGATTAAAATAGGGAAATGCATGCTAAAATGTACCTATAACGGTGTTTAATTGTCAGAAAACTAATTTCTTTTGTAATTTTCAAGTTGTTAAAAAAAAAAAACATGTAAACAGGTGAAAAAATGGGTAAATGGGTAAAAAAAATGATAAAGGGGTTCAAAAACGGGTAAATGAGTAAATGATTATGGTTAAATAGGTAAACGGTTATGGTTAAGTTGATACACGATTATGGATATGATTAACCATTTATAAACAGTTATAGGTGTAATTACTCAACGGATAAACGGTTATACGGGTATGAATATAAACGATTATGGGTAAATAATCACGATTATCCGCCCGTCATAACTGTTGCCTATTCCTAACGATAACCAGATCAAAACAAAAAGGTACAATGATTTTGCCGGACTATCTAACAAAACGCGTTTAACTCATAGTTAATAACCAAATCCAAACAGTAAATAACCAAATTTTACACAGTAAAAAAATCACTTTTACTGACTGTCATTTGATTTGCGCCACAGAAGCGAGACATAAACCACAACTCCCAGCGCGCACAGAAGAGAGAGAAAAAAAACTGAAAGCGAAAGAGAAAAAATAAAGAAAGAAAAATACGGAGTCTCTGATCATTTAGAGAGAGAAAGAGAGGAGAGAGAATATAGATGAACACGACGAGACCACACACGCCTTGTTGAGGAGCTTTGCTGTTGTTGCAGTTGAAGTCAAAGACCTTCCTAATCGTAATCGTCAACTGTAATCAGCGGATGCTATATAATCCGATCGCCGGCGATCGGAGATGCATCGGCAGCGGCGAAGGTGGAGAGGATAGCTCCGGAAGCGGCGGTGGAGGCTGAAGGAAGATACAAAGTGCTAGGTGAAGGCCGTGGCGGTGGAGGATGAAGAAGAGTAAGGGGAAGAACAATGGCTTGTTGCCGAACTCGCTTAGGATTATTTCGTCGTGCCTTAAAACTGTGTCGACGAATGCGAGCACCGTCGCTTCTACTGTTCGCTCTGCCGGTGCGTCTGTAGCTGCTTCGATTTCTGCTTCCGAGGATCAGAAGGATCAGGTGTGAAAGCGATTTCCTAATTTTGCTTCTGTTTAGTTGAATTTTTGTTTCCTATTTAAGCTTTTGAAGTGCTGATTATTCATGTTGTAATTATTCTGGAGATTATTGTTGGATTTTAGTTTCCGGATTGTTTGTTGGAGTAGTGATTATTTATGAAATTTTAGGGCGGGAGAGAGGTTATAGTCAATGGCAGCGTTAAGTAGGTCGATTCGCTGGATTCGTGTTTGGATTTTGGTGAAAAATGATTTATTTTTGTTGTAGTGATCTGAATGTTTAGTTCGGTTTTATGTTGCTTTAAGTGAATGAGCAAACTTCTTGTCGAATTGCGTGAGTGCTTTTTACTAAAAGCGTTTTTGGTGAAAATATTTTTGAAATCTTTAGTAAAATTGCAAGTGAATTTTGAAAAAGCACTTGCACGAAGCAGTTCAAGTGATTTTGGAACCCAAAAACATTTTCTCTAAAAGCACCTTTAGTCATTTTAAAAGCACTTCAAAATGAATGTTTTTACTCTAATGGTGAATGCTATCTTCAGTTTATGTTGCTTTAAGTGAATTAGCAAACTTCTTGTTGGATTTGGCGGTTGCTATCATGTTTTTTCTTATCGAGGTTTTGATATTACTGCATATATACTAGACTACTTGCTAACTTCCATTGGCGAAACAGGTAACCTGGGCTGGCTTTGACAGGCTAGAGTTTAGTCAGTCTACCTTCAAGCATGTTCTCTTACTTGGTTATCAAAATGGGTTTCAAGTTTTCGATATGGAGGATGCCTCTAATTTCAGTGAACTAGTTTCAAAGCGTGATGGCTCGGTTTCATTCTTACAGATGCAGCCCTTTCCTGCTGCATCTGATGGTAACCAAGGGTTCAGAACGACACATCCTTTGCTGCTGGTTGTTGCTGGAGATGACACTACTGGTGCGGGAACTGTTCATAGTACTAGCTACTTGGGAGTGGCAGGCAGAGATGGTAATTTGGAGTCTCGGCCAGGGAACCCTGTCAGCTCTCCTACAGCTGTTCGGTTTTACTCTATTAGGTCCCAAGGTTATGTACATGTTCTGAGGTTTCGGTCAGCTGTGTGTATGATTAGATGCAGTCCTCGGATTGTAGCTGTGGGTCTTGCAACTCAAGTAAGCACTTGGTTACATGTGACATATAATATAATTTGAGAAGTTTAGACTGAGATTGAATAATTTTAAATTACACCTTCTGTATAAAGAGATTGGATGCATATTACTGACCTTCCTGACATTCGGCTGCAGATTTACTGTTTTGATGCGCTCACCCTCGAAAACAGATTCAGTGTTCTTACCTATCCTGTTCCTCAGCTAGCAGGGCAAGGATCAAATGGGTTTAATGTTGGTTACGGCCCAATGGCTGTGGGTCCAAGGTGGTTAGCCTATGCTTCCAACAGCCCTCTAGCGTCAAACGCAAGTCGCTTAGGCCCCCAAAACCTAACTCCTTCCCCAGGAGTTAGTCCATCTACATCACCTGGCAATGGTAGTTATGTGGCTCGTTATGCAATGGAGTCTAGTAAACAGTTGGCTGCTGGAATAATTAACCTGGGTGACATGGGATGCAAAACCTTGTATAAATACTGTCAAGAGATGCTCCCTGATGGATCTAACTCTCCAATATCGTCAAATTCAGGCTGGAAAGTTAGCAGGCATGCAGGCACAGAAATGGATAATGCAGGGATGGTTAGTTCTTTACTCAGAATGAATATTTAAGCACTGCATCTTTTCATTAACTTAATGAAATCTCACCAATGGTCTCTTGTCTAGGCTTGGAAGCTACGAAATTGGAGAATCTATTCCTCATATTGAGTCTCTCTTTGTTCTTTATCCTGGAAATGGTGTCTGAGACTCTGTTGTTGTTTGCTTTAGGATGATAATGTGCGCAAGTTTTTCTTATAACAATTCTTAACTTCATTTCATTCTTGAAATAGCTCTTGACAATACTTGATATATCTTCAGTATGATTGCTAGATTAGACTAGTTAGACGATTTCATACCGTATGCTGCTAGCTTTTCACCATGATACTTGTCTATATTACACTCAAGACTGACATAGAGCACAAAGCAATATTGCATCCTTATAGACTGCCCTCTTTGCCTTTACTATTTTGAATATAAAAGTAAATTGAGTTGTTAATATTTTAGCCTATAAGAACTATAACCTTGAGGAAAAAGAAATGAGATATGAAATTACGTGTTGGTTATCAGATGTTCAGGACAATTTTGTGTTATGCTTTTGAGTCAAAACTCAAAAGCTCTTATTCATTACTTGGTAAAATAATTTCTTGCAGGTTGTTGTCAAAGATTTTGTTACCCGAGCTGTTATATCACAGTTTAAGGCTCATACTAGTCCAATATCTGCGCTGTGTTTCGATCCTAGTGGGACCCTTCTGGTTACTGCCTCAGTGTATGGAAATAATATTAACATTTTCCGGATAATGCCTTCATGTAAACGCACTGGATCAGGTGGTCAAAACTTCGATTGGAGCACTTCTCATGTGCATCTTTACAAACTGCATCGTGGAATAACATCAGCTGTTAGTATATATGAGTTTTTGAGATGTTCTGTAATCTTTGTTGTATTTTCCACCCACATTTTTCTGATTTTTTATCATTCTGACAGATGATCCAGGACATTTGCTTTAGTCATTACAGTCAGTGGGTTGCAATTGTTTCATCCAAGGGGACCTGCCATGTTTTTGTTTTATCCCCTTTTGGTGGCGATGCTGGATTTCGGCTTCTTAATAGTCACGGTGAAGAACCCTCCCTGTGTCCAGTTTTATCTCTACCTTGGTGGTCTGCTTCTTCTTGTGTCATTAATCAGCAATCTTTTCCACCGCCACCATCCGTTGCTCTTTCTGTGGTGAGCAGGATAAAGTACAGTAGTTTTGGATGGCTTAGCACAGCCAACAATGCCACTGCTTCAGCGACAGGGAAGGTCTTTGTGCCATCTGGTGCTGTTGCTGCAGTTTTCCATAATTCCTTATCTCAAAGTGTTCAGCACAGTAACTCAAGGACCAGTACCTTGGAACATCTATTAGTTTATACTCCGTCAGGTCATGTAGTTCAACATGAACTTCAGCCAAGGATAGGGGTAGAACAGAGTCATAGCGGTCTAAGTACCCAGGCAGCCACGTCTATGTATATTCAGGACGAAGAGCTGAGAGTGAAAGTTGAACCCATTCAATGGTGGGATGTATGTAGGCGGTCAGACTGGCAGGAAAGAGAGGACAGTAGTCTTGGTACCACATTCGATAGACAAGAGGTGGCTGGCATTCTTCAGAACAAATCAGGTTCTGATGGTATTCATGGAATGGAATCTCTAGACTTAAATGGTGCTGTTGGGGGGAAAAGGAGACCGGAAACTTATTCTGGGAAGGTCCATGATGGGTCCCACTGGTACCTCTCTAATGCAGAGGTGCAGATCAGTTCTTTGAGATTACCAATATGGCAAAAGTCTACGGTAGTTCTTATTTCAAAATTCAAAGTTACATATCCAGTTAACATTTTTATATGTTTTGGTGGTAATTTACTTTTCACTGTTCTAGATTTGTTTTTACACGATGGGCGATCCAAGAGCTGATAGTTTCACTGGTGGAGAGTTTGAAATTGAAAAGGTCCCTGTTTTCGAGCAGTTCCATTCCATCAAATCAAGCTGGGATGACAGGTGACGACCGTTTTATCTATAGTTCCACACACATTGTTGTAACTCTATAATCTAAATAATATAAGCTGGCGTCTGAGCTTACCAGGCGCTGGGTAAAGATACTGTTATATTATATGTTTCATGCTTAAGCATGGTCCTCTGTGTTTTGTCCTTCCACAATTCTGATACTTGTTAAATTCTGCCTTCATTGTATGATTCAGAGGCCTTGCTGGTGGGAGGTATCCCAGTCATACTTCGCCGCCTCATCAAGCTGAAAACAAGATCTTGGAAGAGACTGTTATATGTCACTCGAAGCCTGCATCGCTTAGCTCCACTGAAAGCTCAGATGGGGGTATGATACAATGATAAAAAATATGCTTCAATCGTTATTTAATATCTTTCAGTTCTCCAAATGGATAAAAATGAGAACTCTCTGTCCATTTTACGTTGCGACTTCTCCATCTGTTTTAGAGAAAATTTTCCAAGTGCCCGGTGTTGGGGCTCTTACAAAATTCTTTCTTATAGCTGATGTTCCATCCTGATCATTTTAACTAATTATGTCCACATAATTACTATTTTGAATCTCTATCAGGTTCGTCAAGAAGAATTGAGCATTTTGTTGACTTCGATCAAATAAACAATGAGAAGCCCCGCACAACAGTTTATCAGACCTTGAATGGCTCGGAAAGAAGGGCCAATACAATTGTTGAGCCTTCATTAGAAAACCATATCTCTTTCAGCATTCTGTGTACTCCATCTGAACATTTTAAGAACATCAATTCTCAAATCAACAGCTGTGTCACCAACGGTTTGCCTGTGTTAGAAAGTACCATGATTCCAGGAGGAAGAGTTTCTGCCGAAGAAGGCCTAGCATTGAAAGCAATTGGGATCAGGGAGGTCTCAGTTTTATACTCTGATCAACATGCTTCGAGTACCGATATTGTTGCAGAGGGGGCTTCCACTTTGCAGCATCCAATAGATCTTTCACAGTTTTTCCAGGAGGAGCATTGTAACGCACTGGAGAAGAACGGATGCAATGGGTTAACTGAAGTCGTAGCCGATGATGTTGACAGCGACAGTAGCCACTGCGATAAGGTGAAACCCGAAAATGAGGAAGATGGTGAAATGCTTGGAGGCATGTTTGCTTTTTCTGATGAAGGTTAAACTATAAAGCTATTGCTTCACTGCATCATCGCACAAGCTAACTTTTGATTTCAATAACATGTTTAAATGAGTTGATAGCAACGGCGTCGTTGGATTTTCTTCTGGCAGGTTGATCTATAAGTTCAAGCTGCGTGTTGCCTATTCCGACAATCAATAAGAAATGCACGACGTTAATCTGTCGCCAAAGCAAAGGTAACTTCTCTTCTCTCGCTCTCGGAGTTGTACATATTGTAGATGGAAATTCAAAAGGTTTTATGGATTGTGGTAGCTGTGGGTTGACAAGGCTTTGTAGAAAGTGGATTTTGGAATTGGTATTGCTCGCGTTTAACTATTTGCCGATCCTCCTCTTATGTCCTGTACAGATAAATTTGGTATGAAACAAAGTTCTCTCCAAGTTTGTACAACTATACTTTTATTCTTCTGATATGATGAAATGGAAACCCCAAAAAAAAAAAAGAAAAGAAAATGCTATTACTTGTAATTTTTGTAAATTGCAATTTCACAGGCCGCAAAACGAAGCGCAATGGCGTTTTAAGATTCATACCGACGACCCCGCTTAGTGAGATAAGACTTGGTTGTTCTGGTTGGAATTACACAACCGTGAGTGCAAATCAGGCCAGTTTTGTCAAAACGGAGTACACGGTTTGATTGTGTGATGTGCATTCTCACAAGTTAAGCTACAAGATTTGCAAATGCCTTTGATTTGAAGATCTAAATATGGTTTTGCTTTGATTTGAAGATCTAAATATGGTTTTGCCAAACCTCTCATTCTTAATTGGTGGCGGGATGAGGTTTTGAATTCGAAACATCTTTCGACATTGGGAAGAGAAGTGCAACTAAACTATAATCTAGTTGGTTTCTTCAACAATAATACGGGCGTGCATGCAACAGGCAAATGCCAAAACTTATAATGTTAACAAAATTGAGACCTATCAACAATTGTTTTTATATGATTCGAACTTGGAACTTTTCAACAAAAGTAGACTAAATGACATAAAAATCCAACAAACATGGATTGAATGACGCTAAATCGAATATTCATGTGCTTGTATACATACAACATAAACAAAGGCGTATTCCATTAAGTAGGATCGGCTATATAAATTCTAGAACGTAATCTGCTTGGTTTTGCGCCAAGTCATCCTTTAACTCCCAAGTACTTCATATTTTTCTTGAAGTCTATTTCCAAATCTTCCTCTACACTCTTTAAGCTCATAGTGCATCCTCTAACTGGAACATCTCTAGATCTTTGGTTCACTTTACCTCTGATGTCCATGTTCTTAATCTTACTATTTTTCGTGTGCTTACACATCTAACGAAGTATTCTAATCTCTCTTACATTAATTTTTTTTTTTGCACATGCTATATTTTAAACGCTCAATATTTCGTGTCATGAAGCATCAGTAACATTATTTTAGTCCTATAAAACTTTTCCTTCAACTTTCGTGCCATACATGCACTTCACAATTTCTTTAAAAGTAGCCATATCCATGAATCCGAATATTGATTTGATGGCCTCTTGGGTGGAAGCTTTCCGAAAAGTAGTGAATCTCCAACATTGGATTTGGTCGTGGGCTTGACATTCTATCAGAATTTGGATTCTACCCGGATCCATTTATGGTAAGTAGGAAATTTTAACAAAATTTTTTTGGTAAAATTTACTTTAATGAAAAAATATATTTTTACACTAAAAATTTAATATTGGTACTATTTATTTTATCTTTTATTTTATCCTTATTATTAAAACTCAAAATTTTCAAACATTTTTCAATAGTTTTTCTTTCTAAGAATCCTCATATTTTAGTCATTCATCATGTATCATGCAGTCAGAAATTATTTGATTTTTTTATTTAAAATTAAACATAAATAGTACCTAACGAAACTAACCGTACGATATACAATGAACAACTAGAATATAAAGACCCTGATTCGGAGAATCCTCTTCCTATGCCAAGTTTCCAAAATCTGTGGGCAACAATATATGACCGCTTACGTGGATTTGGATATGGATCCTCCATGGATCATGCACCGCCCCACCAACATATAGAATTTTATTGATTGTTTCAAATCCTTAATTTTAATTTGTTTGTGTTTTGGTCGAATAATTTAATTTCCTTGTATGCCTAAGAAATTGACACGTGTTTAATCAAAGCATAATACCAAATTAGTCATGAGGACACCTCATACGGCTTGTGTGGTGGTGGCTGCCGCCGTGTGTCCACCCAAAAAAGGACTTGTCAAAGCCGGTCGCGGACTTTTTTTAGTAAGCAACCAGAACGTTAGGATAAGGATGTCCATTAATGAATTCAAATTGTCCAGAGCAGTATATTTCTTTTTCTGCAACCTGCGTAAGTTCGAATTTCTTTCGTAGTTTAAATTAATAAATTTGAAAAATGTTGAGAGTAGTGGGCTTCTTTCTCTACGTACAAATTTAAACTTTTTTAATAATTTAAATTAATTTCGTGTAGATTATTTTTTTCTTGAAAAAGTAAAATTTATAGAGATACTTGTCTAAAATGATCATAATTAAATCCCAAGTGCAAAAGTGACGTGTCATGGATTAGATTTTTTAGCACTGGTAAATTACACAATGGTGGTCAAGAAATGCCACCAGTTGGTCCTCTTTTGCATTTCTTTTGAATGTGCATGTGTTAGCTGCAAAAGACACCTTACGTGAACAATAGAGAAATAAATTGGTGTCGAACTTATCATTTATAAGATTCGGACGTACAACTTACACAAATTGCACACTGCAATACTAGGTGGAAAAAAGAACATTATTTTTATAGAAAAACTAACGAAAGGTCCAAAAAAACTTTAGTTTTAAAGGAAAATGACAAATAAATGTGTAATAAATAGTATCAGATAAAAGTAAAAATGTAGTTTTTCTTTAAAAATGAACAGTACATGAAATGTCGTTAAAACTCTCTATTTTTATTTGGTAATAGACTAAGATAGCCTATATTTATAATTATTTGGGGAAATTAAATAAAAATAGAGCTTATTCCGGTGACGTTGACAAAAATCTTCCCTCCTAGGCGGTCTCTGTCAGTCAGTCAGTTACTCTGTATTTTGTCGCTAAAGACGTTTTTCTTCGAAACGTTTGCTTCCAGGAAAAAAGAAAGAGCCTTTCCATTTCAATTTCCACACATTTATAACTCGTTTTTCCTCCTGTACACATATTATATAAGATCTGCCCGCTTCCGCATTATTGTTCCTGAGTTGTCTGCCGAGTGAAAAACTAGCCGCTGTGGAGGTAGGAACTGAGCGAGAAGGCAGCCATGGACGCCGTGACTCAGTGGCAGAAGCAGTGGTTCGACTACACTCAGTATCTGCGCCGAGAGGTTTTTCTGGTTTTTTCCCTTTTGTCCGTTGATGTTTTAGTTTATCTCCACTGGGTTTTCTCTGCTGAATTCTGTTTGTTTCCATGGAAATTTTTTGGGTTTTCTCTGCTGGCCTCTGTTTGTTTCCATGGAAAATTTTCTGGGGTTTCTCTGCTGGTATCTGTTTGTTTGCGTGGAAAGTTTTCTGGGTTTTCTCTGCTGGCAACTGTTTGTTTTCAGTGGAAAAGTTTTATGGGTTTTGTTAATTTCACCATAAAACTTAAAAAGTTGGGAACTTTGAGATTACTTTGATAAAAAAAAAAAAAAAAGGAACTTTCAGATTAAAAGGATGAAATGTTTGTAGAATTACTGGATACCAGAATTAGTTTTCCAGAAGCACTTCCATTTGTGGTTTAAAAGTGGAATTTTTATTCCCCTTGTTTTTGGAATTTTGGGCCGTTGAACTAATTTTAATTTGTGGGGTTTTTGTGGTGGTGAAAAGGGATTCTTGGACGATCAATTTGCTCAGCTAAAGAAGCTGCAGGATGAAAACAGCCCAGATTTTGTAGTTGAAGTTGTTTCTCTTTTCTTTCAAGATACTGAGAAGCTTCTCAACAATATGGCCAGGGCTCTGTGAGTTCTCTTGTCTTAACCCTGAGTGATATTCTTTGATTTGCTTCGCTTTCGGACAAATTTTGTGGTGGTAGCTGTGTGAAAACAGAACCGAGCACAATGGCGTTCTATGATTCATATAGCCAACCCCACTTAGTGGGAAAAGGCTTTGTTGTTGTTGTTGGTAGCTGTGTGAAAACAATGTTAATTTGGGTTTCGTTTATTTTTCGTAGAGAACAGAACGTTGTAAATTTCGAACAGGTAGATGTCTATGTTCATCAATTCAAGGGTAGCAGTGCCTGGTAATTCCAAGCTCTTTTCCTTACTTATTTGATTGTCAATTCTCTGTGTCACTTGAATGCCTAACTTGCTGTGAACGGCTGTTCTTATCGTTCTTATATATATGGTACGCTAATTTTTTGTACTTCGTTGGTTTTTGAGGTTTCTAATTGGAAATTGATTTCGTCGGTTTGCAGGATAGGTGCATTGAGACTTAAAAATGCATGCATCAACTTCAGAAATTTTTGTGAGGCCCGGAACCTTGAAGGGTAAGTGTTTTTGCTTCATGGTGATTGGTGATGTTTTCAGTGATTGATTTATATTATACCATCAATCGGAAATTTGTCAATGTATATGCTCTTCCTTCCATTAACTCTATAATATTAATCACAATTCGGACTAGAAATTTGTAAGCCGGTTATTTCATTGACAGAAAATCATAGTTCAACTACAATAATGTTAAAAAAAAAATAATGAACATTCCCACTATGATTCAAGAGAAGCAGGGATCTGATGTTCGACTTGTATTTCATTTGTGTTTGTACTCGACTCTCGCGATGAAGAAAGGGTTTGTAGCAGGGCAGTTGCACCTAATTGTGACACAATAATGTTTGGTGTAGGTGTTTGAGATGTTTGCAACAACTGCAGCAAGAAAGCTCTGCACTGAAGAACAAGCTCGAAACTCTATTTAGCGTAAGTACATGAAAATTTTACTAGGCAGCTTGCATTTTCCGGGATTGATTATCTAAAGGACCTCCTTGGCATAACCCCTGCTTGTGAGCTCGGGGATATAACTTACGTTCTGTCCTTGACATATTCATCGCTTTGGATCCTCCAAAGCATCCTCGGACTGCTACCACGAACAATCTCAGTTTGGATTTCATATTAGCTTCTTTGCCTATATCTCGTCCGCTCATTGACTTTGCCCCTTTGGTTTCTGTAGTTTGAGCAACAGATCGTGGCTGCTGGCGGGTCAATTCCTACGATGGAGTAAATCCTGCAATGGAATCCACTGCTATGAAATTTGTCAAGAAATATGCATATCAGAGTTTTCGTAAGTCCTTTAGCGTGATCGATTTTACTTTGATGTAGTGAAAATTTTCGTGTATTCCGCCTAGCATTTTCGTGACGATGTAGCGTAATAACCTTCTTGGAGGAATGTAATGCAAGGCTCCCTTCATCGGACGCAGTAATTGATCATCTTTCTTGTTATTTTGTTAGTGAGGAAACTTTTATCGTTGAACTTGGCAAAAGCCTATATGATCCAGTTTGGTTAAAATGCTCCCCCACAGCCCACTATTTCACCAAAACTTGGATCATAAGATTGATTTTTCTCTATTATTGTTTGGGCCTGTTGGATCATAAGATTAAGAACCACAAAAGTGCTTTTCTTGAAAGTTGTTTTTGTCGCTCAAAGGTAGAAGTTAAGCCACAACTTTTTCTACAAATAATACTTATGGATTGAGATCCACACCAGATCCTGCGGATTGAGAGAGGCATGGACCATTATGTTCCAATCCTACAGCCCCTATTAGCCCTTCTTATTGATCCATTTCACAAAAACTCAAAAACTTGAACAGTCGAAATCTCTTTCTTGAAACGTGCAAATCTCTCAATTTGTGGGATTCAAGCACAGAGATCCAGGGTGGATTTGATTCCCTTCAAAGGCTACCAGTTAGAGCAAGTTTTTTGTCATCCTTCAAGTGTTTGTTAGCTTCTATGACAAAAAACAAATGAACCCATAAATGCCTAAAAATCTTGAGAGTGGACAAAAACCCTACTATCATGTACATTGTTAGTATTTGTTTCTCTCCTTGCTCTAGCAACCGCATACGTCGCACTCGACAACTTACCTCACACAACAAAATACGTCGCCGTCTCGGAAAAACCTTCTTGTGTTTACCGCACTCATTAGTAATTAGATTATCTTTGATTATATGACAGATTAACATCTGACACAAAAAAATCTCTTGTTATCAAGGATAATCCTGTTCTGTTTTGAGCACTCATCGACGACTTAAATATCTCCTCAATTGTATTAACTTGCTTCAGGCGATCAAATATGTTGCAATCGAGGCATAACCATTTTGTGCTTACATCACTCACAAACAACAAGATATATCTCTAATGGTAAGGCAGATTAATTATCTTCTCACGCACAACTCGTCTCCTAGTACTCAGAAAGAGGAAGCTCATTTTGTGTGGAAGGTGGTGTAGCTTGATGAAAGGGACACGAAGATTGCAAGCTCTATCAAGTATGGCAAATGTACCATATCCAAAAACCTAGAGGAGGAATGTGGGGGTGTTTTAGTTGTTGGAGTGGTTATGACATCTGTGAGAGAAAATTTCCAGTATGCGAGAACATAACTCGGTATGTCAAGTGTCAAAATATAATTGGTTAGAATTTTTTTTCAAGTTTTCAACAATTGTACTATTACGCTTGATGTACCAGACTGTGTTCTTGGCACATACAGAAAAATCTCTCCATCTGTGGGGCGTCATTGCATATGCCAGATAGGGTTGCTAGCTTTGCTTTCTTGCTTCCTGCTCAACATTACCTGCCAAATTTATGCTTCCATAATAATACCATCCACATTGGTACATATTTGTACACACACACGTTATTTGCTCATGTAATTTTGTGAACATCGATTGTTTTCGACTCACTGCAAATTACAGTTTGACAAGTTTGTAATCATTATTTTCATTAGCAAATCATCAAAGATATTATTTATTAGAAAACTATAACTATGCATTATATATGCGTACAAAATAATAATCCCTTGTAAGAGTAAATGACTTTTTACACACGTAAAGAGTCAAGCGTAGTTATATATTCCATCTTGTAATAATTTAAAGCAATTACCTAATATGATTTTTTATTTCTTGCTAAACTTTTTTACTCCAGCCAGGCAGTTTGTGAAACCAAGAAAGGACCACAAAGACGGAGGAGTGGACAAGAAGTTAGCAACTTTTGTTTTACCATCTTTCGTTGCATACTTCATTACTCCCAACATCCAACTAAATGGAGAGGAAGTTTCAAGAATAAATGCCATTTTTCTAATGAGAAATGCTAAGGAGACTCACTTAAAGTATGACTCTTTTTATAGATGTTCTGTCACATCATATTTTAAAGTTAATTTATGTAACAACATTATAAAATATTGTGCAAAAAGCGTGAGGTGACAGAGAGTCCATGAAAATTTTCATTTTTAAGAGAGTTTTCCTAGCATTTCTCCTTTTTAATTTGTTATAATTTCTTTGTACAATTGGATTGAGAGGTGAAGGCAATTATGCAACTTCATAAAAGATTTTGGTAGGATATTAATTAATTGAAAAGAGTGGGTGTTGAGAGCAATTCTAACAAATTAGCTAAGAATTTAAAGTTTTGAAGAACATTTGACAGCCTACATAAATAGAAAAGTAACAAAAATTTAATAGAAAGTAAAAGTTCTGCCTATACCACCGTAATAAACTCTTGTTATTGGAGAGAGATTTCAGTGTGCCGAGAATAAGTTTGATACACTAAGTATCATAACACAAGTGGTTGAAAACTAATTCTTTTTTAACTATCTACATTACGATACTTAGTGTACTAGGTTGTGTTTCCGAACACTGAAAATTTCTCCTTATTATTGTGGAATTTTGATCTTTGGTGAGCTTTTACGTACAATCCAAAATCCCAAATCAAATCTAAGTTTTTATTAGTGAAAGCTTTTTCTTTCCCAAAACACTTCCCCAAGTGGAAAAACCTCAATTATATTTTATGAGCAATTTTTTGGTAGTTTAACTGTAATTTCTAAGACTATTTTAAAAGGAGATGTCAAATATACCAAATAGGATTAAAAGATATTTAGGTGTTCTCCAATGGATATGTCATATATGATGTGGCATGTGAGTTATTTGACTCTTTGCTTTTTAGCTGTCTTTTTTTTACAGCAAATAAAAAATGAGTCAAATATATTTAATTGATTTTTTTAATATATGGGTCCCATTAACAACCAATAAAATAATTACAATTAATTTTGTTTATTTTTAAATAGTTAATGTAACTTTAGGCCCAATAAAATAATAAAATAAATATTTGACACATCAATTGGAAAAGAAGAGAATTTAGCACTTGTATTCAATTTGATACATCAGCCATCAAATAAAATTTTGCCTTATTATATTTAATATCTCATTTGAAAATGCTCTAACGACATATTTACTTATTTGAGAACTATCGTGAATTAGAAAAAATTAAAAATTAAAGACATAATAAAGGAGTATAAGTCGATATAACTACCCCAAATCAATCTATTTACGAATTAAAATATGATTCAACCAAAAAAATATTAGATTATCGATTATGACACGAAAACACATACCTATTCCTTTCCTAGTAAAAACGCATGAAAGTATTATAAACAAAAAGCAAATTACAATATTCTCCTTTGTGAGTAGGAATCCAAGCCCTACAAACGACAAGTAGTACCCTTTTATTGTAAGTAGAAGGACCAAACCCTGCTGGCAATTAGCGGAATAGGATCCTTGCCGGATTATTTTTTTGGAAATCCTAGAGATTTTATGATCGTAATCGTTTATCGTATATTGTACAATCATAAATCATTTCAAAATTTAAAATTTAAAATTAAATATAAATAGTACCTAACGAAAATTGATCTCACGATATGCAATGAACAGTCACGATCATAGAATCCCTAAGATCCCTAGGAAAAGGATCCGGCAAGGATCATTTTCCAACCTCTCAAGTTCCACGTCAGATAAAAAATCTCATGTTAAACGAATCCGGGTCCTCGCCGGATCCTCTTTACCAGAATCCGGGAATCCATAAATCATGTACGTTAATCGTACATCGTGTGATAAGAAATTATTTTAAATATTTTTATTTAAAATTTAACACAAACAGTACTTGACAAAAACTCATCGTACAATGTACGATAAACGGATATAATTCACGAATCTTCAAGATCTTCACTAAAAGGGTTCAGGGAGGATCCTGTTGGATGTTAAACCGCAATGTCACGTGATCCCCGCCGTCCATAGTGCGCCAACCTGGATCCCGAACCTGAGGCCCCGCCTTCCACGTAGGCTCGGACAGCCGTTTGACCCCGAATCCAACGCCCAATAAAGAAACAAAAACAGTAACATTAATAATAATAATAAAAAAAAAAAATAAATAAAAATTGAAGAACTCCTTCACTGGCTCTGTTTACAGTATAGCAGCAGAGTGAGTTACTGCGTCTTCTCCGAGAAGCCAAAACCCCCAAAAATAATCAGAAAAAAAGCAGAAATCTTTGGTTGAAATCTGAGCTCGAGTAGAATTACAGTATAAGATTCAATCGATTGCCTTCTTCTCCAAGCCACCATCTTTTTTTGTGGATGCTTAATGTTTCCCACCATTAAAGTTATCACCGCTCTGTGATTTCCCCTTGCCCACGAGAAATCTGTAGCTTCTCTCACGGAAAAGCGCTTTTCTTCCCCACCAGAAGCACTTTCTTCCTCCCCCCTATAAAACCCATACCGCCAAACCCATTTCTTTCACTCACAGAGTGTCGGAGCTTGCTTCCAATGGCGGAAAAGCAGAGGAGTAATGGGTTTGTGTGCATTGTGTTCTTCCTCTGTTTGATTCAGTGGAATCCCATTCCCATTCCTGTCGCCGTCGCCATTCTCGAACCGGTTGATTTCCTGGCTCTGCAATCGATTCGGAAGTCGCTGGAAGACATGCCGGGATCAAATTACTTCTCTTCCTGGGACTTCACCTCCGACCCCTGCAACTTCGCCGGCGTCTACTGCGACTCCGACAAGGTTATTTCCCTCAATCTCGGCGACCCAAGAGCCGATGCGCCGGGTCTGACGGGTCGGCTCGACCCGGCAATCGGCAGGCTTTCCGCACTCGCCGAGCTATCAATCGTTCCGGGTCGGATCTTCGGCGCTCTGCCCCAGTCAATCTCCCAGCTGAAGAGCCTCCGGTTCCTCGCCGTCAGCCGCAACTTCATCTCCGGTCAGATTCCGGCGAGTCTGGGCCAGCTCAGCAACCTCAGAACGCTCGACCTCAGCTACAACCTCTTCGCCGGAGCAATCCCCACCTCCCTCGCATCCCTCCCGGAGCTTTCCAACCTCATACTCTGCCACAACCGCCTCTCCGGTTCTGTCCCTCCGTTCACCTCCCAAACCCTGACCCGGCTCGACTTAAAGCACAACGACCTCTCCGGTTCGCTCGCCCCCGACTCCCTCCCTCCATCTCTCCAATACCTCTCTCTCTCCTGGAACCGGCTCTCCGGTCCGGTCGACCGACTTCTGAACCGGCTCGACCAGCTCAACTACCTCGACCTAAGCATGAACCAGTTCACGGGTACGATTCCGGGTCGGATCTTCACATTCCCAATCACAAACCTCCAACTGCAGAGAAACTCGTTTTCGGGTCAGATCCTACCGGATAATCAAGTTTCAATCGCTACCATTGATCTCAGCTACAATCGGCTATCCGGTGAAATCTCGCCGTTGTTCTCGACCGTACAGAGCCTCTACTTGAACAACAACCGGTTCACGGGTCAGGTTCCGGGTAGCTTCGTGGACCGGCTATTGGCGGCGAACATACAGATACTGTATTTACAGCACAACTTTCTGACGGGGATTCAGATCAATCCGACCGCTGAGATACCGGTGAGCAGCTCGCTGTGTCTGCAGTATAATTGCATGGTCCCGCCCATACAGACGCCGTGCCCGCTCAAGGCTGGGAACCAGAAGACTCGGCCGACGGCGCAGTGTAACGAGTGGAGGGGTTAAATTGGGAAATTCGTATGGCGTTTATTTTTTATTTTATTTTTAAAGGAGAGTTAATATTTTGTTACGTTTTGTGGGTTGGGGGTTATTTTAAGATTCATTTATTTATTTTGGGGTGAAGTATGAATAATGAAAAGATTGTGGATAGTCAGAGATAGTGTAACCATGTAGGGAAATTCATGCTCTACTATTTTGTTATTATAAATATGAAGAATTTTTTGACATAAACATGAATATTTCGTGGTGTGTAAAGACTGTGTGCCGCTAAACAAATCATTAAATTGAAGTTTTATGGAATAAAGTGGAGGCTGTGTGCCGCTAGATGCTAGACAAATTGTTACGTGCGGTTGCTTGGTTTGAGTTTTGAATGATTAGTTTTTAGAATTCATAAATTGCTGAATGACTTTGATGAGAAAGAAAAATTGGGTTGGGAGATTGAAGAAATTGGGTAATATTATGCAACCTCATGTCAACCTTGATCACAAAGCCCTCCCTAAGTTTGTTTTACAAACGCTAAGATGTGACAGTCACACTTGGTGCGATGGCAAGTGCCTTCGCCCATAAGCGGTAGGTCTCGGGTTTGAGACTTGGGAGCAGCCTCTCTATAAATAGGGGTAAGGCTAGCCGACATTCACCTCTCCCAGACCCTGCTTAAAGCGGGAGCCTTGTGCACTGGGTACGACCTTTTTATGATTGTTTTGATGAGCAGCCTCCTCTTCATTTGCTTTCTTTCTGATAGAAGAAGATAGAGAAGCACAGAAGCACTGTGTGGGGTGCTTCTGCTTTTCAGCTTTTGCCATGCACGGGCTTCAGACCAAATTACACTATTCATGATTGGAGCCAGCTGCATGGCTAGTTGCGAGAAATGTGAAGCAACAGCCTCTCATTATTTCACACTTTGGGAACCTGATGCTTTATTCACTCCATCGTATAACAATAGTTTATCTTACGCTGCAGTCAGGTAATCGACAGTTGGCACTTTGATCTTCACATCGAATATCTACGATACTTGTATTGTATATTGCATATATGCGATTCAATATAAAATATAACACAACTTGTTTTTAACACCTATAATGGTGGGTGGTGATAGAGAAAGACATGGCCTTTTCCGAAGATATATCTGTCTCTTCCTATGACATTCATCACGTGATGAGTTCTATAGGATAATATATTATTCTGTCATGTACAGTGTTGATAAGTGGGTGCTATATGCGGCTTAGCCACATGATTAGTACTATAAGAATAGGTAGAGAGAAAAAAAGAAAGATAAGAGAAATATCCGGTTGTATGCAAGAATCTCGTGGCAATTGTGGATATATGCTGGCAAGTCGCAAAATGAACACGTTAAAATAGTAGAACAAGGGCATATTTAATTCAACCTAGAGAGTCTATGGTTGTATTTTTCCTCTTGAAAGCTATATAATCTTGCCCTTCTTTCTTATGTAAGACATGGGAGAGGACATGTGAAGGTAGCTGGGATTAGGTGGGAGTTGGATCGACAAAAAGTACAGAGAGGAGAGAGATGGAGAGGAAGCCCATGAAAGGAGAAGAACAAAGCTAGCAGGCAACACAAGCTACAACAAGGTAATGACACTTCAACTAAAAGAAAAAGAAAACCAATTGACTCCTTTGTTGTCTCTTCTTCTTGGTCTCTAGGGTTTTGGTTACTGCAGGCCAAACTCAACCCAATTTCTTTATTCCCTAGTCCCCACACGCAGGATGTCATTGTGACAGTATTATAGACGAATCACGTCTTAACATGTATTTTGAAGTTTTCCTATAAAAATGAAGAGAAACTTCAGTAAGGGTGTCACGTGATCATACATGTAAGATAAGTTACTAAAAAGTTGTCACGTCGACACGAACGAGACCGGATTAACCATAATGTACAGAGTTTCAGAGTGAGGATGAAACCAAGAAAGGGGTCGACTTTCACTATTAAGGTTTTTCCCCTAAACATATTTGACCAACTTATAATACAGTTTAACGTAAATTTTTAGTTGCATGAAAATTCTTAAATTACTTGAATTTTATTTTCTATTGCTATTGTAAATTTGACTTCCCGAGATTTATTTCATAACACCGTTGATAACAGTGTGACTCTGTGAGTTCAAAAGATGTGGCAACTTGGGCTCAAATTGAACTCAAATTTCCGGCTGATTGTGTGAATTTGGTTTCAAGTTACAGGAATCGAACTCAAAATTTCCGGTCCAATGCGACAAAGCATCATATGATTTCTTTTCGAAAATCTGGGAGCACTCGAAAGTAACCAAACGAAAAAACAAGAACCAGTACAAATAGGAATGGTTTGGAAGATCGATAAATCATATTTAGCACGTACATGGCTATTTATTTATGTACAACTGAATCTGGTGAATGAAATTATTAATGCACGCATCCAATGCAGATACATTCGCCGGATCGTGTGAAACTCCGTTCAGTTTGTTCAATAAAACTGTCTCCTCCAGAGTCTCTTTCGGGGGTAAGGCGCCGGCGCTTCTCCACTCCCGGGGAATTCCCATCTAACAACTCCCCCGTCCCAAGAAGAGCTTATGAGCATCGGGTAATAGGGGTGCCAGCTACAGTCTCTTACAGGTTCTTTATGATGCTTGAGCGCTGCAACTTGGGCTCCAGTCACCTACAAAGATTTAACCGAAATTACCATAAACTACGGACTGAATTCCTAGCAGAGAGAATAAAATGCACAGCACATACCAAATCATATATATAAACGTAAGAGTTATGAGACCCCGTGTAGATGTACTTCTGACCGGTGCTGCAAATTTAAGGTAGATGAAATCTGTCAAAAAGTCTCGAACAATACAAATGACAATACTGAAAACGGGGTAAGAAGCTTGTACCGAAATTTAATTGAGTCGAAAGCAGTTGAACACTGCATTTGAACATAAAAAACTTGACTAGGATCTGAAAACAGATTCCAGACCTCTAGAGAAATATGAAGAAAAAGATTTTTACTAACGCTTACCTATATGCCGGAGAAAAGTAGCAGCGAATAAGCGTGCGCAAGACTGAATGTCCTCTATACGTGGCTACTGATTGATCAGAGGGATGTTTCATATCTTTTGCCTGAGATGGGTAGTCCATCCATCCGTAATCCCAATCAGAAATCCTAATCCCTGGAGTGCTGGAACAAATTGAAGGATTGTTATTCTCTAGCAGTAGCAAAATAACTGGAAATTTCAAGCGACCAAACTTTCATGGCCCGAATAAAGTAATTTAGAGCTATACAACGAAGCCCTTCCAAACTATCCTGATCTTGAATGAAAAGATGATATTTTGATGTTTGTAACAGGATTAATATCAGTGTTCACTTTTTTTTGGGATAAACGATAGGACAATCTACTAAACTACGGGGAGGGGGATTCAAACATGGGACCTCAAGTGCATGCGCAAATGCTCTTAACCGAGCTACAAGCCACTTGCAATATCATAGTGTTCACCGACCATGATTAAATAGTAGAAACATTAAATTCATATGATTCCAAGGGAACCAGGGGAAGCTAGGATGTTAACATACCGAGTGGGACTAGAAGAAATTTTCCTGATATCCCAAAGTTTAATGGTCTGATCTTTACCGTTCGAAATGAAATAACGACCATCTCCCTTGCTGTCAATGAATGCAATACCTTCTAGGTGTCCCGTCAAGACTCCTGCTGGCTTCCCTGTGGTTTTAAGGCAACGTCTGTCCCACACCTGCACAAAGCCACACCTTATATGAGTTTCCAGATGCATCTCATGTGAGTCAAATAATGACAGAAATTTTACCTAACAGAGAGTATCATCACTCTCAGACGTAGTTATGGACAACGGGAAACTCAAAACTAGAAGTAACATGGACGACAAGTTTACCTTACAGAGAGTATCGTCACTCCCAGAATAAATAAGATGGTCACCTTCATCGGCAAAGCATACAGTGTTCACATCAGACTGCAAAATAAAGCACCATTCAAATTTCCAACCTCTAAGGTTCCACTCTCATTCAAAGAGCAGTCAACACATTACACTTCAGTATTCTTCAATATGACAAGGAAAACAGTAAAAGAAAACAACAATATTGAAGAATAAGGACAATCAATAGATGAAATACAAAAGGACAAGATAGAATCATAAAAGCGTTCAGAAATGCTTATACAGAGTGTGCCGGAATCCGAAGGGAGAGCTTATTGGCTTCAAGATCATAAACATATATGGAATCATCACTACTTCCAGCAACAAGTTCATGCCCATCTGTTGAGAATTTTATGGAGAAAATACCAAATGAGTACCCTCCATCATCATCACCAGAGGAAAAATCCAAACCCTCATGGATTTCCTGCATATAAAATCATTCTCTGAATGTCAGCAAACTTATCATCAAAGCAAAACTAAATCCCAGTTTCAGAAGAAATTTTGCACACCCAATATCTTCCCTGAGTGTTTCTAACAAGTAGAACTGTAGAAGACAAGAGAATTGTTGAAAATGCAAACTCTAGAAAATTCGAAAAAACATAAGAGAGCACATTTGTATACCGTTATATTTGCAGGAGACTCCGTTTCAGAAGATCCCACATCTACCATATGAACAATAGGGGACATACTCGCATAAACCTGAAATTGCGGAACACAAATTAAATAAAGATTAGATTTTGAGAAACATTGCCATGTAGACCTCTGGGTGTTTTGAGAGATTATTAATAGCTTCCTATTTCCATACATTTAGTGCTTGATATGCATATATAGTACTTTGATATCCTTCCTTACACCATCATTTCATTAATCATGATTTCTTGTTTCATATCGAAGGCCAGGGGACTAATTTTTCATGAAATTAAGATAACAATATACAGGGCCTCACAAGATGGCGTTGATCCGGGGAAAGAGACGTATCAGTGACAGACCATTGCATACTTTTGGCATGGATGTTCTTCTGGACTTTCCACCCTCTATCCACATTGTATATTCTAATGTGGCTATCCTGCAACAAACATTTGAACAATAACTAAAGTCAAGCCCATCATATCATCGACAACCGCTGTATTTGAAATTTACACATTTCCAAGTTCAAATATCTTTCAGCTTCGTAACTGAAGAAACAACGCCGCTATCTTTTGATTTCTTTTCAATTGGTAGATGAACTCAATAAAGAATAGAGGCCAGGACAATTTGCCAACTTTAGCATCGAGTGCGAGCAATAAACATGTTACCTGAAACCCAGCAATGAAAAG